AGATGCAATAATGGGACCCGTAATGGATTAAATTTTGGGATTGGTTATTTAATAGTTTTTTTTTTATAATAATTAATAAGGGGTTCCCATCGTTGGGTTGGAGTGCCTATTTTTATTTTAAACATCGGGCAACTCGTACGATGTTCGGATCACTTTATTCGGGTCTCCATCCTTCGACCTGTCCAGCATGGGTAACCCTACCAGGAGAGGAAGCTCCAGCTGGCATAGCTCTCAGGGTCACTGACACACACACATGCCCCCCGACAACGGCAAGGATAGCAATCCACCGGGGGGGGGGGGGGGGGGGGGAGGGTATATTGGAATGGGATAAAAAATTTAGCCTTGCAACAGGCCACCTACGGACCCAATGAACTTTACAAATCGATATTTGGACACAGAAGTATGAATTATTTCCCCTTTCTTTGTTTCCCCCTCACAGGTTCTATAATTTAGGTTCTATAATTTAAAGTGTTTAAACCCTAATCAAATCTAAATATAAAGAATAGAATCAATATTATATCCTTTATACACATTTATCCTGAATTTTACATACCAGTAGTTCGATAACATCAAAAAGAAATATAAACATCACATATTTCTTTTGTATATTCTGCTACAAAATTGCAAAATTTACAGGTTTCTAGTATTTCAACGTAACATTCAGTACGTAGATTCAACACAACAAATTTCCAACGTTAACCTTTTGAACAAATCATCGAAATTAAGTTGCAGTTTAGAGCTATAATTAGGCGTTTGTGGACACACATGAAGCTGTGATATTGGGAATGTAAGTAAAAAATTAAAACACTTTTGAAAATTGGATCTGCTATGAACAAAATAGGGGGATATTCCCTGTTTCAGAATCTAACGGACGATGGGTAATCTCATTGTTCGTACCACAAAATGATAATAACTATACGTATTAGTTAAATTTCCATTATTTTGGACGTTTTTAACCAATCACAAAGTTTTGGTGTACACTCTTGAAAATGTTAAGAAATGATTCGATTCTGAAACTTCAAAATAGCGCTACACGTTAAGATCATTGGTTATTATAAACTTATTCAGATTTCATAAATATTCAATAATGAGGTAGTCAAGGCACACACACCCTGTACTACAAGAAAAGATTCAAGAATTCCATTGCCCCTGCTATAAATCGGTCGCAAGTCAATATTTTTATCCAACGCAATCATAGGTTTGAACGTTGTTTTCAATTAAGACTTGTTTATATATATATATATATATAAATCCGGATATGGTGTACATAAACCTTTGCACCTTTTGTTTGCGGTATACCATCTTTTTCGCAAGTTTATTGTTTTCTGTTTAGTATTAAATTTATAATTAAGATCCATTTTTACATCGGTGATCCGTTTATTTGGCAATCGCCAATGGCAGTCAGCAGGGTTTAAGAACATTTGTTGTTCGACCTGTTAGTCAAATGCGTTTTGTTAAAATATACTTTTTCACTTTTTTGGTCTTTTTGAAAATGTTGTTTGTGCTGTATTTAGACCCCTCTAACAAGAAATTTGTTTTGCATGCACACGTATAAAAATTGTGGTTTTTATCCAACGCAATCATAGGTTTGAACGTTGTTTTCAATTTAGACTTGTTTATATTTTTTCGTTTGGGCTTGTATTATATTTGCCTTCGGGTTTATATCATCCGTTCATCCTATTTTGACTCCTCAAAATTCAAGAGTCTATCCTGAATTGAGGTAAATTGTATGGCTTTCCAAATACCGTTTCGATTCCTAACATCACTGAAGAGACATTAATTGTCGAAATCCGGATATGGTGTACATAAACCTTTGCACCTTTTGTTTGCGGTATACCATCTTTTTCGCAAGTTTATTGTTTTCTGTTTAGTATTAAATTTATAATTAAGATCCATTTTTACATCGGTGATCCGTTTATTTGGCAATCGCCAATGGCAGTCAGCAGGGTTTAAGAACATTTGTTGTTCGACCTGTTAGTTATATGCGTTTTGTTAAAATATACTTTTTCACTTTTTTGGTTTTTTGGAAAATGTTGTTTGTGCTGTATTTAGACCCCTCTAACAAGAAATTTGTTTTGCATGCACACGTATAAAAATTGTGGTTTTTATCCAACGCAATCATAGGTTTGAACGTTGTTTTCAATTTAGACTTGTATATATATATATATATAATATATATATTAATGCGAAATTCTGAGTAGTTATAAATCGCAACATTTTTTAAATGTTACATCGCGTGATTAAATAGGGATTAATTTCTAAAATAATTTTTATCCAGGTAGGTTATATTGCCTTTTTTAACAGACCACAATATTTAAGGAAGATTTAATGAGTGCAAAACGATAGGTACATGATATATTTACAATGTATATCAATTCACGTCTGTATTCAATGTATGATTTAATTCAATGTCACCATTACTGTTACGTAAATATCTGCAGCCCGACTTCCTTGTTTGAATTTCAATTACTTAGATTTTTTAATAATTATTTACTGTTGAATATCCATTTTTTCAATTATGAAAAAGATATAGAAGGGGCCATCTCTTTTTTTTTTTTTTGTTTGTTCAGAAACAGGATCATTAGTAAGAAATCTTTCTTTGACTCTTAATATTTCAATAAATTCATCGAATAACATGTATGTGTCTTTATGTCTGCAAAATATACCTTGAAGTCCTTTACAGATAATCAACCACAACGATTTTAATCGATAGGCGCAAATTAGGAAATTGGATTATTTGATTTAAAGAAATGAAATACTCACAAACATCCACACGAATAAAAACTCAAACATACTCCCCTGATGCCACATCCCGATAAAATACAAAAAATATTTGCATTTTATATTTGAAAGGTAGGAAAAAAGTAAAATAACAAAACTACCGAACTCCGAGGAAAATTCTAAACGGAAAGTCCCTAAGCAAATGGTGAAAAAATCAAAAGCTCAAACAAAGGCAGATGTGGGGTATGAACAAATGGTATAGCAACTCAAAAGACGCACAGAACATCCGAACATATATGTTTGCTAATTTGATAAGCTGATCCATGCCCAAAAAGACCAGTGTGAGTGTTTGTCATTACTTGGTGTCCATCTTCCGTTAAACGTTTACAAAATCATCTCCTTTGCAACTGCTGGGAAACCAATCTTCACCAAAATCACCCTTGGGATATCTAGTCAGACAAAAGAGTCCAATAAAAAGTAAAATAAAAAAATACCGAACTTCGAGGAAAATTGAAAACGGAAAGACCTAAATCAAATGGCAAAATCAATAGCCCAAACACATCAAACGAATGGATAACAACTCTCATATTCCTGACTTGGTAAAGGCATTTTCATATGTAGACAATGGTGTATAAAACATGGGTTTAGAGCTAGCTAAACCTCTCACTTCTATGACAGTCGCATAAAATTCCATTTCATGGACATCAGGTAAAAATGTAAAAAAATAGGGGAAACAGCAGTCAACATTCTGTTAGTCCCTTCTTCCAACCAACATGACCTAAAAGGCCTAAAATTGAACATATGGGTAGAATACAAGTATTGTCTTTTATTTTGTAAAACCATTATGGACAGAAAAAATATGACGTCGGACAAATGTTCAGAATGTCAATTTCTTCTTACTGTATTTGGATAAAAGCTGACGAATTTCTACATTTGTGTTTTTTTTTTGTTGGCGTAACCTATAGCAGATAGACGGAAACCATAATCAGCAAAATAGTCATCAGGAAAAAAAAAAAAAAAAAAACAAATACGTGTTTTCGACTCCTCACATTTTTGCACTTTAAAAGAATATTTTCTTATCCAGTTTTGTATGTTTTATAGACGTTATTGAACATAGAAAGAAGCTGTAAACAGCAAATATGACCATAAATATATGAATTTCACATGAGTCAGCATGGCCTAGATTGTCAGTCGATTAGCAATAGGAGTAATTCGACAATTGAGCTGCATACTTTTCACTAAATACTTCATTTCATATAAGAAGTAAACAATCTCTTTTTCCTGTTTACAGACTGTATCAACCATTTCATTTCAATTTTCAAAAATATTTTTCTGGAAACACCAAATACAATTAGTAAGGTGCGTTGAAAATTATGTTGATGACTCTGGTAAGTTTTTACTACTGAAATGATTTATGATAACGCATTGTCTGTTTTTGAAATTTGTAAATAATAATATAATTATGAAAATAAGTTTGCAACTTACCAGTCATGTATGAATAAAGATTTCGCCTTGAAGTAGAAAAAGAGAATAAAATTTAAAAAAAAAACATACATAAAAGGTAGTGTGGATTAACCCCCAAGGGTGACTGGGGAATAGAAGTATGGTCACCATTGGTCTTCCTCCGACCGGCAGTAAAACCCGTGCTAAAGTGGGGCGTCCGTTCGGCTGTGCGGGATGTACAAATTTGCAGCCACGTCCGGTCAGAATGGGGACGTTAAATCCGATGCCTCGTGTAAAGAGAGTGCCACGCTCTTTGCACGTTAAGAACCCTTGCAACAACTCTTTGAGGGGTCCGTAGGTGACCTGTTGCAAGGCTAAATTTCTGTCCCTATCCAATATACCCCCATTTCCCGTGGCAGTCTAAATTTCTCCGACCATAATCCCTTAATCTATTACAGAACCTACCTATTGTATTTATTGTGAACTTGTTCTCGTCCTGAATATGCATGAAATATTTGCCACTGGACGTTAAGCAACCAACAATCAATCAATCAATTAGTGTGGATTAAACAACACTGACAAACACTATAAAACAAAATACAATGAGAGTTGGACATGTTGAAAAATGGCACGAGTTATTAAAGAGGACATTTATAACTCAAAAATCGATGAAAAATCAACGGTACGATGTACAGGTTAACAAAACATAATTATATAGATAACAAAGAATGAGCCCTACGAGCTCATCAAAAAGCCGTGCTGAACTGATGTGCTTAAGGATAAGCAGTTCCCGTTCCAATTTGGCACCCATTAGTCTATAACATAACTAGTTCAACTGAGTTTTTAAATCGGCATTGGCGAATATTAAACATAAGACATACGTTCTAGACATGGCATGCAAACAAAGCATAATACACATAATACATATAATACATAAGCATGCAAAATAATAATCATATGCTACGCCACAAGCACACACATTTCAAAGAGCAAAACACTCAGTTGAAGTACAGTTTAAAGAATAACTTTGTAAAGAAGCAGAAACACATATAGACAAATCAGCTGTTAGGAGCATGCATTGCAGTGACACGTTCTGCCTTTGAATGAGTTTTAATGGTTTTTAAATATGAAAAAGACGTTTTCCTCTAAAATGGCCAGACATAATACAGATCATTCCATGTTTTGGCTGAAAAATATTTAACAGAGGTTAATCCGCACCTTGTATAATTACCTAACTGACATATTCAATCAACATACAGTATTGTGATGACGTAACATGACACGCCAATTTTTTCAAAAACAATCTAGACTGTAGCATATATACACCAAGCAATGTAAAATGACATTTAACAACACTATGTTAATGTTATTAATAGTACACTAAGAGCCAAATGATTTTTATCCGATGTTATAATTTAACGTTTTAAAACTTATGCATTATGGGTCAATGATTTGAAAGGTGTACAGAAAATGTTGTGACTCATTGACAACGTCCTGAACCATAAATAATCGACCAATGGCGTAACGTTATTTGATGTTGGTGTACTAACAATGCAATAACCCATAATCCTTAAGGTTCTGTAACGCCGAATTGATGAATGACAACACAACTAAATTCTTCTGAAGTTCTATGTTTAAGGAATATTAAGATTCAAAATGTTTTAAGGATGTAATCATTTCAGGTTAAAGATTGCTTGTCAGATGTTCAGAATCCTTTGGGTTTTTTTCCTACGATACAGGGTAAAATATGTTGCCCCATATCACCCACATTTCGTTTCATAGAAGACTTCAATAGCTCATAAAGGTCATTGCCAAAATTAAAGCAGATTCTAGAATTCTTTTCGTACGATTTAAATCCCAAATAATGTTAATGCTAAATATAAGGTAAAAGTCCGAGCCAGCATTTTTCCACCGTTTTTTTTAATCAAATATCTCGAAAAGAAGTTCCATATCCTCTCAATATTTCTACCTTATTTTGACCCTTAACTATGCTCTTCTGATTTAAAGTAGCAATTTTAATTCCAGATTTTTAAAATTTCACCTGACTACGTACTTAAGGGCATACGATACAGTTTCGATCCCACGATGAATTTTTGACAAAAATGTGCATACAAGCTTTTTTTCAACTAAATAATTCAAATATGTAATAAAAATATACCTTAATGTGCTACTTTAAGGGATAATTGGCGTCGAAATTTTAGACATTTACTGACAATTTTGTTTTTTTGGACATTTCTATCCTTTGGATAGACATACCTAACTTTTTTGTTTCAAAAGAAAAACACAAGCGGATTTTTGTAAAACCATTTGGAAAATCTTTTTTATATAAGTATGCTCTAGATTTGTATAACAATTCTTTGGAAATGATTAATTTTTATCAAAGTTTCAGGATTTTAGAAAAAAAACGGCATTTTTTGCTGTATATTTTTCTTATTTCAAAAAATTTCATCGTTGACTTGAAAATTGGTACAAATCACCTTCATTCGTAATCAAACCAAATGTCATTTTAAAAAAGAGTTAAATCAGTTTGAATGATAAAAATCAGTCGAAAAATGCATCTTTTCCCAATATGTCACAGTTTGACGTCGCGAAAATATAATTTTACTTTAGCAATAAAATTGAGAATGGAAATGGGGAATGTGTCAAAGAGACACCAACCCGACCATAGAACAGACAACAGCAGAAGGTCACCAACAGGTCTTCAATGCAGCGAGAAATTCCTGCACCCGGAGGCGTCCTTCAGCTGGCCCCTAAACAAATATATATACTAGTTCAGTGATAATGAACGCCATACTAAACTCCAAATTGTACACAAGAAACTAAAATTAAAAATAATACAAGACTAACAAAGGCTAGAGGCTCCTGACTTGGGACAGGCGCAAAAATGCGGCGGGGTTAAACATGTTTATGAGATCTCAACCCTCCCCCTATACCTCTAGCCAATGTAGAAAAGTAAACGCATAACAATACGCACATTAAAATTCAGTTCAAGAGAAGTCCGAGTCTGATGTCAGAAGATGTAACCAAAGAAAATAAACAAAATGACAATAATACATAAATAACAACAGACTACTAGCAGTTAACTGACATGCCAGCTCCAGACTTCAATTAAACTGATTGAAAGATTATGTCTTCAGCATATGAATATCAGGCACAATCCTTCCCGTTAGGGGTTTAGTATCATACCATCATAACATATATGAGAAGAACATAACCCGTGTCATGCCAACAACTGGTTTTTAAATAAATGTGTTTAGTGCCGATGCAAAGACCCTATAAGTGAATCAATATTAACGCCAAAATATGCAATCTTTAATGACCTGACAACAGTATCGTAACTATATCCCTTCTTAATAAGTCTGTTTAAAGGTTTTGTTAGCTTCAGAGGTGAATACTGACATTTTTGTGCTTTATAAAGAATATTTCCATAAAAAATTGGATGTGAAATACCTGAACGTATAAGAAGTCTGCATGTTGAGCTATATTTACGAATGATGTCCTTATACCGATGATAAAATTTAGTAAATGTTTTGACTAGTTTGTGATGTCATTACCTTCCCTGTAACTATATCGTATGCCCTTAAGTAAATATTAATGTATACAGTTTGAATCATAACAAACTATCATTTTACAGTTGTAAACAGTTGTAAGGCTTTGAATCAGTTGATACAATCCACCTTAAAAAGCTTTGTCTGATGATAAAAACAAGAAAATTTGATCAGTGTCTATATGTAAAATAAAATTACTTCTTTCAAATTATTACCAAGTGAATTCTTAGGCGATCTCACAATATTGAAGAATTATCTGATTTGAATGTAGCTAACAACTTTGGCTATCAACATTGAGCCATTGCTATTTTTAAAAAAAACCCATTGTTATTTTGAACAAACAACACACAAAACGTCTGTGTCCTGTTTATATGGCGGACATTTCAATGACCCACACACTGTTTTTACAGGATAAAATAAAATTCCATTCTCGTCGTTAGATCCACCTGCTATAGCTTCAGTGTCTCTATCTACACATGCGTATTCTGCTGCAGCAGGATGATCATGGTATCCTGCCATTAAAATTCCTTCGTATTCTTTTGTCCATCCATTGTAACATGTTTTCCTTCCTGAAATAATTGCATAAAGAAGTAGACAATATCTGCCACTTTTTGTTTAAATTTAAACATACTTTATTTGCTAAAATATGCAAAAAGGATGAGACAAGAATACAATGCAAATTACAATACACACTGGATTAAGATATGTAAACATGATGATTAGTTGTTTGTAAGTGTTTAACGCTACTTTGAGTATATCACGGCGACCAGCTTTCAATGTTGTAGCAAGGTGGGATACACGGAGAGAACTATCGACTTTCGGTAGAAAACTGGCAATCCTAGTGAATTAAGATAAGAGTCGAACGGACCTTGTCGTACCAGTAGTGTGAATGGTTGTACAAAAGAGGGACGAAAGATACTAGAGAGACAGTCAAACTCATAGATCGAAAACAAACTGACAACGCCATGGCCAAAAATAAAAAGACAAACAGACAAATAATAGTACAGATGACACAACATAGAAAACTAAAGACTAAGCAACACGAACCCCACCAAAAACTGGGGGTGATCTCAGGTGCTCCGGAAGGGTAAGCAGATCCTGCTCCACATGTGGCACCCGTCGTGTTGCTTATGTTATTACAAATCCGGTAAATAGTCTAATTCGGTAAGTCACATTCGTGAAAAGGGAAGGGTATTGTAGTTACTACATAAGGAACATATCCGATATCATCTGTGAAACGGTTATTCCATAACGGTCAACCAACTCGTGATGGCGTCCGTAAAATTTACGAAGGGATGATTTCAACTTCACCATTTGGAACTCTTGGCTTAATAGCTTCCTTGTGAGCAGCAGTTCTCTATCAAGGAAATCATGATAGGAAACACAAGCCCGGGAATATCGTATCAATTGGGAGATATATACTCCATATGCAGGCGCTGCTGGAATGTTGCTACATAGAAATGGAAAGTTCACAATTGGGAAGCTGAAATCATCTCTTTTGTCGTAAAGTTTTGTTTTCAACCGACCCTTATTGTCAATTTCTAGATGTAAGTCAAGATATGAGGCAGACTTAACTGTATCTGTAGTATCCTTTATCTCTAGTTCGATGGGATAGATTCGTTCAACATAGTCACCAAATTTAGTATTATTAAGTGAGAGAACATCATCTATGACACAAAGTATGCATATTATTATGATTTTTAACCCAATTAGAAACCTCTATAAAACTTTAATAAATCGATATCTTTTTTTCAAGATGATTTTATTTTATATTAGCGAGTGACATATGAGATTAATAAGATACAATTTAACATCTAAGCAAAACGTAACACGTAATGTTAACGAAAAATTTGTGACCAGATTGTTCTTACCATTAAAAAAAATGATTTCTAGCGTTTCAATGTTAGAAAACAGCTTAATTTCGGGTTTTAGTCGAGATAGATTGATTGTTGGTTGCTTAACGTCCAGTGGCAAATATTTCCTGCATGTTCTGGACGAGAACAAATTTACAATACATACAATAGGTAGGTCCGGTAAAAGAGGCCGTCCGGGCTAAAGGGATGGAAAATTTGGACTGCCACTTATAAATGAGGGTATTTTGGATGGGGACAGAAATTTTGCCTTGCAAAAGGCCACCTTCTGACTCCTCAAAGAGTTTTTGCAAGGTTCTTAACGTGCAAAGACCATGGCATTCTCTTTACACGAGGCATCGGATTTACCGTCCACAATCTGACCGGACGTGGTTGCGTACTTGTACATCCCGCACAGCCAAACGGACGTCCCTCTTTTGCCTTTATAAGAACAAGTGAAATTAAGATGAGTTTTCTTCAAATAGTCAGTATAAAGGGATAAGATTTTCGAAGACACCTGGTGATTGACCGTAAAGCTCTACGCCGTATAATGCCAATCTTTATCGAAAGCTTCAGAACAGTAACTGATAAGAAAACATTTGATTATTTTTTTCCGAGTGAACTTAAAGTAGTTGTATATTTCTAACAGGTAGTAAATTGTTGAACATCTTGAAAGAAACCCAGACTGGTATTCAGACATTACTATATTTCTTTGTAAGCGATTGAATAATGGTTATTACATAAGTCACATGGACAGGATCTGCTTACCCTTCTGGAGCACCTGAGATCTTCCCCTGGTGTTTGTTGGGTTCGTGTTGTTCAGTCTTTAGTTTTCTATCCAGTGTTTTATGAACGTTTGTCTTTCCGTAGTTCTTTTTTCTTTTTTTTTTTGCCATGATGTTGTCAATTTCTTTTCAATTTATAAGTTAAGAATACCCCTTTACACAGTCCTTAAATGGTGCAAACTTCGCAATACAAAACTTATGCTTTATGGTGCATGAACAATGTTGTTTCATGTCTAGTTCATTTCAATAAAGCTGTATTGAAATTTGCAATATCCCTAAAACTCATTACATTGTGGATAATTTGGAATGGTGTGAATCTTGCATGGTTTAAATAGGAAAGGGAAAATAGTGTTCGTGGAACATTTTATGACATGGGTCAATTTTTTTAAGAATGTTGATAATAACTCTAACGAAAAATCGCAGCTTCTTTATTATTCTATGTAACATTTTTTCTACAAACTGAATTCAATCAGCGTACATGAAGTTCATGTCCAGCCTTTACCGCTACTTTAATCAACCGTTAAATTGTTCTCCCTATGAATATTGAACTAGTCAGTGTTGATTTCAAAAGCGCAAAACAACCTACAAATTTAACACAGCACGTTTCTTGCATAACAGTGATAAGAAAGGAAATTTCAAGACATTTAGTGAACAAAAATAGTGGGTACCCTTTTGTCATGTATATCCTGTTGCCAACATATTTATTAATAATCCAATATTATACTTGTAAAAAATGCTATAATGTGTTGGAAACCAACAGAAAACATTATCACTTTATCAAAGGGAGTAGTTATTTCACAACAGCATTCATAAATGAAGAAATTTGTCTACCCTGTTATGTCTATCCTGTTACTATGGTTTCTATGGTTACAGTAACAGGATAGACAATATTTGACAGAGACGTCTTTTAAAAGTTTATGATTACATATAGTTGTACATATAATGAAATGTTTCGTTGTTTGAACTCATCTAAAGGGTATAACGTCGTAATCTTCACAATTTAGCATTTGTAGATGCAATAATGGTATGGGTAACAAAATAGGAAACAGGGTAACAGGATGGAACTTAAAATGGCGATATATCATTAACGTACGTTCCTGCTACCAATAAAATAAAGACAAAAGTAAACCAACATGCGAGGGAATTGCTTAATGTTGGGTTTATTATAAAGAGAAAAAAATGCTGAACATTATGAAAAGCTATCTTAGACTTGCATAACTGGTTGTTATTTTCATAACCTTTGAAAACCTATTTTTAGAGGCATTTTTCAGCACAACATGGAAAATTGACAAATAATCTATAATTTCACAGAATAAAAATATATAGAAGTTTTTATTGTTTGAATTTGTAACTTAAAATGAATTTTGCAATTTCAAAATTCGACATTTTTTTAAAATGACCCATATAAATGGTAAGTTCACATCATTCAAGGACCGTTCGCATCTATTTCCATATAAACAATTCACTCATTTTTCCTAACACACTTTAATATAAGATATATTGTACTATAGGTAAAAGGTGATGAACTATCCCTTTTCTGACCCCCTGCCCAAATGCAGTGCGGGGGACATAGAAAAACCGATCGTCCGTCCGGTCTTATAACCGCTCTCACATGTACAATCTGGCCAGATTATTGTGAAATTTATAATTCCGGAGCACCGAAGCACCTGAGGTCATCCCCGGTTTTTGGTGGGTTTCGTGTTGTTCAGTCTTTAGTTTTCTATGTTTTGTTTTGTATACTGTTGTTTGTTCTTTTTCGTTTTTTGTCATGGCGTTGTTTTGGGGTTATTGCCCTTGTACAGATAAACTATGTGCATCGGTGAGTGACATTTGAACGCTGCTCTTTTATATAAAAATCACTTACATTGACAATATTCCATCTGTTGGGGAATTATTATTGATGCAGGGATTTATTATTTTGCCACTCTAAAAGTGGGGTCTATACTGCATTCACCTTGTTCGTTCGTCTGTCTGTCCGTCTGTTAGTTCGTTTGTACAACAAAGATTTCTGTCATACTTTTCTCATGTACTACTAATAAGGATGACTTTATTTTTGCTCAGCAGCTTTTCAGTGATGTGCTGTAACGTGTGAGCATTTTCCGGATCTGGCAGACACCTACTTTCTTTAATCCGATACTTTGACCTTACACTATATCTGCACTGTTTTAATCGTGAATAATATCATTAAGTGGGGTATAGCACAATGATTTTTACGAGATTGTTAATGCATTTACATTATCTTCCAATTTGTTTGGGTGAGCAATATTGGTCAATTTATTTTCAACTTGTAGTTTTGAATGTCCCTTTGGTATCTTTCGCCTCTCTTATTCAAGATGATACTATATCAGCTGTTTTACGATTTTTTCTTTCAAATTATTCCTTTACTTATCATATCTTTATAATTGAATCATTTTAATTATTAACGTAAAGCTTTTTCACGACACTGGTCTCTTCTCCGAATTTCATTTCTTAGCCGAATGTCAAGCCATGGTCGGTTTCATGACGTATATTAACAAAAGCTTTCCCTTGTGATGTGAATGAGCTAATTAGTAAATATTGGTTTAGATGTTGAAAAGGGCCAGCTCACTTATTCATTTGTATTGCACGTCATCTATTGGAATATACTTCATTATTTTACATCACTTAATATTTTTTTAAATCACAAAATGCACCAAGTGTTTTAAATAGGGATTTATATTTCAGATTGTGGTTTGTGCTCAAAAGAAATATTGATTTTATAAAAAATATGTCAGTTCTGGATATCTTTCCTCTTTTCCCGACAAATCGATTAAATTGAGCACTTTATTGATTGTTATTTGCACAACGTCTAGTGACAATAATTTCAAGATTATTCAGTTCACGTGAAAAGAATGGGTGAAATGCATAGGACAACACTTCCAGTGGCATGTATTACATAGAATATTTATTCTGAATACGGTTGACGAATAGTGAACCCCTCTACTACCACAACAAAAGACCAGACGGAAAACAGTTTTCCTTTAAAAGTCACGAAGCGGTTCTAGTTTCCCTTTAAAAGAAATAACAGCAATTGCAACCTGTTAATTCATGTTGCGATTTTGTATTTATAGAAACATGAAAGAATTTGATCGAGAAACAATTTTGCCTCGTCTTGTAAGGGTTATTTCCTTTGTGTACCCCTAATGTTTTGCCTACATTTGCTTTCAAATGCAGACACACTGGTTCTTAATCTTACATTTATTTTAAACATTTCGTGTTAATAGTCAGGGAAGGCGGAGTCAGACATATCATCATCAACTTCTGAGATCGAATTTAATACTCTGCTGTAACGGAGGCATTTAAATACAAGACAATCATAATTTGCAGAGAGAACACGACGCCGATCATGATGAAAACCGTGGAAAATATACAGAATCAACAGCAAAGACAATATCACAATCAGGAAAATAACAATTACTTGTATTTGACTTTCGAATCTCATAGAGATTTCTAAAAATCATAACTGTGTGGAAAGCAATTATAAGGTCAGATATTTTGAAACAATACTACGTTATATACAATGTAATTTGACTCATAGTATGTATCCTTAAAAAATGTGACGAAAAAAAGGTTGTAAATGATAATTTTACTGTTCAACCAATGATTTTGTTTTTTTTTTTTTTAAATTTGTTTATCTGTTTAAAATGAACTTTTCCGAAAAACATGCAGAAAGTTTTATAGCAATTATTAATTTTTATTTATAGAACCAAAAATAAGGACCTGGTCAAAAACAACATCCAAGAAAGTAGTAACTATTCTATACAAAATACTTCATATGCATAGCTGCAACTTTGTAAATAAGTGAAAATTTGGGTAATTTTGGTATAAAAAAAAGCTTCCGGACTTGAAATCACTGTAGAACCCTGATCTGAAATTATATGATATTGAAATAGGAGGGCACATTTTGCCTGTTTGTTGCATTAGAGTATCTGTTTTTTTAATACCAAACTTCCGTGAACCAGTGTGATCTTATATGCAACTGTTGACAGGATAAGGTATAGTTTTGACATCAAATGACTGTTACTTTATCTTAATTAAGACAAAACAGCTACATGTATGAATGTTTAAAATTGCAAAATTTAACATGAACACGCAATTGGCTTATGAATTAGTGGTTTTATTCCTTTAATATTTTACCTGGTATCATTATTGTTGATCTTTTACTTTTTGCTAAACATGCTGCACAAGCAACGTCATGCTGACCTATGCCGGACCTTATTCCTTGTGGTTGGTTATAGTCAAATATTTCGTATTCTGCTCCATACAGATAAGCGTAATTAGAATTTGATTTTAGCGGCTGTGCAGCATCTGGGTCCTTAGGTAAACAAATATAGTTCACGCTTGCCCCTTTGTGTGTGAAATGTCCACCCCCAACTTGGCCTGTTGATAAATATAATTGCTAAATTAATTTATTGCTTCTTTTTTTTCTTGTTCAGATAAATAGATCAATTTCGACTTCCTTTTTATAAATGAGGAACACCGATTGACCCGAGATCAATCCGCATAAAGGCCATCATTGAACAGAATATTCTATTTGTGACATACATTGCAATAACAGATGCATTGTGACATTGTAAATGTACGGTAGAATGCACAGATGTGAAAATCGTCTGTACGAAACATGATATTGTACATGTTGTATAAGTTTAGCATCTTGGAGAGAGCAGAAACTGTCAAGTGTGTGCAGAAAGCGAAAAGAGAAAGCTGATAGACATTTTATCGTGTTTTTTTTTTCATTTAGTGCAAGTAACTTTTTGGGTTTACGTATTCATTTAGAAGATCGAAATCATACACGTCATATGTAGAACATATACAAACTGAAAAATAAAACGGCTGCAATGAAATTTATTGATGTAGAAAAACAATCAAAACTTCTCATATTAATTTTATATAAAATGACCGCCTCCATGGTCTCGTAATAAAGTGATTGTTTAAAGTGTGGATTGTCGTGGGTTCGATCAAAGGCCGGATAGAATCAAAGACTATAATATTAAAATGGGAAAATGGGAAGACGAATTTATGCCACTTCAGAAAAACCTAAAAAATATTATTAAACAGTAACGCTGCTTGTATCAATTTTCTAAAATAATTTGATATTGTTTGCAGATCTTTAAGTCTCTTAAATGTTTACACTTGCGAATAGTCAAGATGATTTATCGCCTGACATATGGGTTATACAATCGCCAATAGTCAGAGTGATTTATCGCTAAACACATGAGATAGCCGCCCCAAGGGTGACTGGGGAATAGAATGGTCACCATTGGTCTTCCTCCGACCGGCAGTAAAACCCTTGCTAAAGTGGGGCGTCCGTTTGGCTGTGCGGGATGTACAAATTTGCAGCCACGTCCGGTCAGAATGGGGACGTTAAATCCGATGCCTCGTGTATAGAGAGTGCTACGCTCTATGCACGTTAAGAACCCTTGCAACAACTCTTTGAGGGGTCCGTAGGTGACCTGTTGCAAGGCTAAATTGCTGTCCCTATCCAATATACCCTCATTTCCCGTGGCAGTCTAAATTTCTCCGACCTTAATCCCGGAAGCCCCTATTACAGAACCTACCTATTGTATTTATTGTTCTCGTCCTGAATATGCATGACAAATTTGCTATTGGACGTTAGGCAACCAACAATCAATCAATCAATCATGAGATAGCCAATTGTAAATAATTGTGGTAATCTATCGCTGTACGTACTGGTTAGATACTTGTCAATTCGCATCTTGATATATCGTTGTACAATACATGTTTGACGTTAGACACTTGTCAATTTTTATCTTGATGTATCGTTGTACATACATGTATGGCGTTAGACACTTGTCAATTTGGATCTTGATATATCGTTGTACATATATGTATGGCGTTAGACACTTGTCAATAGTAATGGAATTTATTTCAAAACATATGAACCCTAAGGGTTGACTGCGGCATAGCAGTATGGTAATTTCTCTGTACGATGAAAAACACTTGCAACAACTCTGGGTAGATCTTAGTTGGTCTGTTTCAAGGCCCCATGTTTGTCCCTCACCAGCGTACCCTCAATTTCTTGTTGCACTCCAAATTATTTCCGCGTTCATCCCGGCCAACCCCTACCTTGCAAAACCTACCATTATATAAATTGTTAATTTGAGCACGTTCTTAATTTGCATAAAATATGTTCCAGTGGACGTAAAACAAACAATAATTAATCAATCTTTCCTGGAATCATAGATTCGCGAATATTATTAACTAAATAATGTATACTTTCGGTCTTACACCTTGATAATCGTTGTTCATGCATAATTCAAAATAATGAGTACAGTTAACCAGTCGAAATATAGATTATATGGGACGCATTTAACTATATTTATGAATGCATTTTCATTGTTGTAAAATGGTAGGAAGAACATTAAAAAGATGCCAAGTTGAACATTTGGATGAACCAGCTATATATCGTTCTGCATTAGTGACGTAGAGATATTCAGTAAGACGACGGTGGTTGTGGTCGTCCTTTTAATGGCAATACTAAAGGTAAGAAGAAAGGATTGTTGGTCTTCTTAAATTTCATGAATGATGTAGGGTTTTATTCACAGTTTTAATGTGCATTCCAAGGTCTGCATTTAGACATTCGAAATAATGATTATTGCATATAAAACAATATTAAAAACTATATTGTTTGTCCATTTGTTGGTCTAGAACAACAACATATTTGTCGTAAAAAGAGGACAAAAGCATCTACAACCTCGGACATTTTCTACATTAAGAAAAGTCAGGAATATGACAGTTGTTTGCCATTCGTTTGATGTGTTTGAGCTTTTGATTTTGTCATTTGATAAGGGACTTTCCTTTTTGAATTTTCCTTGATGTTCGGTATTTTTGTTAATTTTAACTTTTTTCTTAAAAGTGAAAGAACCACGTGTGTTTATTGTACATTGTAGATAATTATAATTTAAATAAACAATTTCAAAATAATGAGTTGGAGAAAAATCAGGTTGTTTAAACTTTATTGGAACTCGATATCAACGATAGAAAATCAATACAAATTTACGAACTGAAATAAAAGCAATTTGTTTAAACCCTCAAGTTTTTTCTTAAAATCATCGCTTCACGAACATTTGAAACTAACTTGCGTACACGTTAGTTTCTAGACATACATTAAGTTACCTGAATATATTGTTTCAGTGTTGGGTCCATCGCATAGTGTCTTACCCCATCTGATGTATGTCACTCCTGAAAACAAAGCATGAAACATGCAGCAAAACCAAAATTCGGAAGCAAACACAAGCAATAAAATGATGTTCATCCGAGCAATGATGAGGCAGAACAACATTTCAATAAAACGACTCGTTCCAAGACTACAAAAGTACAATTTATATACGAAATTAGTTGCTAATTTCGATTATTCTGATTTATTTGTGGAAATTACATTCTACGGTATCAATTTTACTGCATAAGGTACGCATTTCGACAATTACTGTCCACGAAGCTACAATATTTGAAAATCATAAACCTAATGCAAACGCGAAATTACTATTATAATCGAAAACAACCAACATAATAGCCAATATCGTGTATGAAATCAGCACTACGCACAATAGATATACAGTACTACCTGTGACATTCTTTTATTAATGGTGGCCATAAAAACTATGTTCACCATGATGGCCCTATATGTCCATCATTATACCCCATGTTGCTTAGTCAATACACAAGGTATTAATCAAAAACTAGTCAAGGGTAAAGAAAAATCATGATTGCATTTAAGTGATAAAATTAAATAACTTACAGGTAAAGTGTCTCAGGTAAAATAAATGTGTTAGTCAAATTTAATTGCTGTGATAATGACAAGAAAATAAAAATATTAAATGAAATAATAAAACTAGTTGAACATAATATTTAGAAAGTCTCATGACCTCAGTTTATATATGTAGCTAATACTGCCATGACTGTTATTTAGCTGTTATACGTTTTAAATAATTTTCTCGATTTAAGTTATTTCTTACATGTATTTTTTTACTAGTGGAGAATAAATGAATCTCATCTTCTAATATACATATTGCAAACTTTCACAATGCCTGCCTTTTTCTTATGAAAAGATGTTTCTCAAATTTGTTTTTAAATCAAAATTGTTCAGACTTAGAGATACTGATCCTCCATTCAACATTGTTTTACAAATGTTTAAGATTATCTTTAGGACTTTATCTAAATAAAATGTAGGCAATTCATTCTCTCTCTATTGACGTTTCAAAATATTCATTACAGCAAAATTTAATAATATCTTTATTGTCATATAAACCAAGGATTTGTACCATACAAATCTTTGTATAAACATAATTAGTTTGTGACATAAACAAAAATAAATACAAAAACAAACGTTTAAACACAAAGGAAATAACAATTCTATATGAAATGAACACATGGAAAAAAATATAAGGTTTCTGCCCTCAGTTCTAATGACTATTTTATAAAGGAGCCAACATTTTTAACATGTTCCGTGATAGAGGGGTTAAGCATTTATTTTACTTTTTGTTCTTGGGTATGGTATAAGTAAGAGACTTTATTATAAGAAGGTAAACTATTTTCAAATAGATTATTTCTTAGTTTTTATGTTAATTTTGCAACCAAGCAGGAAGTGTTTTTCATCCTCCAGCAAGTGGCACAGTTTACATATTCTATCCTTTTTATGATTTTTATGATATCAACTTATTTTCTATTTCTAAATTATGGTCACAAATTCGTGACTTAGTGAAGCATTTGCGTTTATTATTTTCATCGTAACTTTTTATTCTATTTTCAAAAGTACTATATTTTTCTTTAAATTAATTTTTAATCAAGGACATTAAAGAGTTTACGTCATTATTCAAAATGATTTAATTTAACAGTCCATAAAAATGTCACAATCTAAAGAAGTGTACTTCAATTTTTCTGGAGAAAATTTTGGCTGTTAACTGACAGAAATTAGCCAAACTGAAGATGACATAATTTGATTAGTTTACAATTGGTTCAAAATACAAGACATGTTTATAATTGATTTTTTTTTCATAATATTCACTTTATTCAGAGATCAGGACATTTTTCATTAGCATTTTTAATGAAGGTTTATCAAATTTTGATGATATACTAATATATTGAATGTAGGACAGAAAATTCCTGAAGTAATGTATGGTACTAACTTATCTGCACCAGATAGGCATTTGGAAAATTAAAGTCACTTCAGTGATGCTGCAGACATGACGGACACAAATCTTGTTTTTAGATTTGAAAAAAAATGACATACAGAAATTGTTTTTTCCAAAATTTTATTTGTACATTGTAAAACTTTTTTTTTTTATCAAAATTGATATTAAAAGGATTGATAATGAACATTTTATTGTAAAGAAAACAGACTTGTTAAATTACTGCCTTCATGGTGCCTATAAACATATCATTTGCATGATTAGAATTTAATAAGAATTCATTTAATAATGCAAATGAACAATTAACTACAATGTACATGATGTACACTCATTTTTTCCCTTAAAAATATATTATTTCAAGAATTCTCTGTTTTGTTTTCAAATGCTAGTCAATAACTTATCTTGACTTTTTGTCTTTTCTACTTTGTAGCTTTCTGTATATTTACCTATATATTTCTTAATACCATGGATCATTGACAGATTGCTTGAATTTATATTATCATGATTATCTAATCATTATTATATTTTAGAAGAAGTTTTGTATACAAGTTGTTTAACATTTTTAGAAAAAACATTAAATAGAAGTAAGTCTTTTGTAAAGGGAAAGATTATCATAAACTGAATTGTAGCTTTTTCCTATATTTTTTCCCACTTAGTTAATTTAGAAAATGTAATAAAAAACCATACTGCTTATGTTATTTTAAGCATTGTGAGGAAGATTGAACTGAATTTTCTGCAGTATAAACACTTGAAACTGCTTGAGAAAAGGAAATAATTTGCATTCAATAAAAATACAGAATAAGAAAATTAGAATCACATGAAATGTACAAAAATAAAAATTTATACATTGTTACCTATACATGTAGATAATTTCCAACCTTTTGAAATGAATAAATAAAAAAAATTCTATTTCAATCTTTAAACAAAACTTTTTCACATGTAGGCAATTTAAATGGGACAAAAAACAATTTAACCTGTACAGGAAAAGTATTGATGTAGAATATCATTTACACACCTTTTAATAAATAGATAAAAATCAGTCAATCTCCCCAGGTAATCTAATTAGCTTGACACCAGTCCATGGTTTATGACCCCAATAAATGGCCAACATCCCAGGTTTTATGACCCCCAATAAATGGTCACCATTGGATGTTGAACATAGCAGATATTGACATTACTAAGAGTAAGTCACAGGTTGTACTGTACATTCCTTAATTTTGAATGATTTTGTAAATTTTATAACAGTTTATCTAATATAAAAATTCCAGTACCGATTTAATGAACTACTGGTTTCTGGTGTATGGTGATTCTCGCTATAAGGAGTAAGTTGTCAATTTGAGTACATTATCTTTTTGTTGGTGAGTTGACCTTTTTGTAGATGTTATCTTGCTAGTATTTTTTCTGGCTACAGTTTCTCTCCATCTATTATAGTTTTAAAGACAAAACTACAAGATTGTCATGCAAGGTAGTGATTGTTGGTATTAAACTCCATTTTCAGCACTCCTGGCTATATCGTGGTAGCCTGTTGTTTTTATTGGTTGAAGAAGAGGTAATTGGCAGGAAAACTGTCATAACTAGTCAATTATTATGGGAGATAAACGCACCCTCCACGAAGCGGGGTTCGAACTCACATTGACAGGCGAGTAAAACTGTAAATAAACTATCCAGACCAATTTGACCTCCAAAAAGACGATAGAAAGGATTCTCAGTAACATTTATCAATATTAGTACAAGAATAGATTATTTTTAAAAACCTAGATGATATTTAAGAAGAAATAGTCCATGATGCAGTTTTTGTATAAACAAGCAAGTGTGATAGAAGCTAAGAAGCTTTCATTCATTTTTTTAATGTGCCTATTGGTAAATAGAATAACCAAACTAGCTATCCATGTTAGCACAAGGTTTTCGGAAATAAACTTTAAGAACCCTTTCCATCATTGTGTGATTTTGATTTCATATAATTTTTTTTATATCTTTATCAATAAGAAATTACATATATGCAAATATTTCTATATAGTGCAACTTTGCGAGTTTGCATTCACAGACTAAACTTCCGCTAGAAGAACAATCTTTGGTTACGTCATCGTGATAGGCATGTACAATATATGTAATATTTACCGCATGATATATGTATAACATAGAATCTAACCTTTATCCGTCAGTTGTTTTTCTATTTCAGCTAGTTTATCTTTCCCCAATTTTTGTTGTTTTTCTATTTCAGCTAGTTTATCTCTCCCCACTGTTTGTTGTTTTTCTATTACAGCTTGTTCACCTCTTCTAATTGTTTCTTGTTTTTCTAATTCAGCTTGTTTATCTCTCACCATTTGCTGTTGTTTTTCTATCTCAGCTAGTTTATCTGTCCCTGCTTTTGTTGATATTAGTTGCTTCATGTCTTTAATCAATTCGTGTATCGTTTTTATTTCCTCCTTACTTTCAACTAATATCTTTAATTTATCTACCTCCTTTTCCAATGCGGATACTTTCATATCTCCTGTGAGCTCTAAATAGATAAGAATATTTGTATATGATTCCTTTTATATTCATTTATATAAACAAGAAAATGTGGTATGAGAGCCAATGAGACAACTCTCCAACCAAGTCACAATGTTTAAAAAGTATGGCCTTCAACACGGAGCTATGACTCACACCGAACAACAAGCTATGAAGGGCCCCAAAATGACTAGTGTAAAACAATTCAAACAGGAAAATCCAGATATAAAAGAATTAAGAGGAAAAAAGTTCCAAATATCAGGTTTTTATTCAATGCTTTAAAATCCCGCCTGGTTTTGTTTTGTGTTTATCTTTTTCTTTGTACATGTTTTCTCTCTTTGCCTAAGCAATATATTTATTATTTTCTCAAAAATATACACGTTCTTTTAATCTTAACAAAGTGACAACCATTTATGACTATTTTTATATGTTGTGATGGACGAGAATCTAAATATAACTGTATCATAATATTATTCATTTACAAAAATTCTTTTGATTTTCAAAACAAAGTCATCACTCATGACCCCCACCCCAGCCCCTAAGTTTTACTAGGGAATAAAAATATGGTCATTCGTGGTCTTCTTCCGACCAGTAGTATAACACTTGTCAAAGTGGGACGTCGGTTCGGCTGTGCGCAGTCACGTCCGGTCAGAATGGGGAAGTTAAATCCGATGCCTCGGGTAGTCGAATGCCACGCTCTCTGCGTGTAAAGAACTTGGTAACAACTCTTCAAGGGGTCCGTAGGTGGCAAAGGCAAGGCAAAATTTCTGTCCCTATCCAATATACCCTCATTGTCCAGTGGCCGTGCAAATTTTTCCGACCTTATCCCAGACGGCCTCTATTACAGGACCCACCTATTGTATTAATTTTATATTTGTTCTCGTCCGAACATGCATGAAATATTTGTCACTGTCTGTTAATCAACCGAAAATAAACCAATCAATCATCACGTATGTAAACAAAAAAATATTATTATATTTACTCTAGGTCTAGAACAATAATTCAAACAAGTCTTTGTTTATCTAGCCATGGGTACCATTTTCTCACAATAAAAATGAAATTCAAGAAAATAATGTAAACTATGGGTCTAAATAATTTTACATATAAATGATAAATCAACAATGAAAACTTATTCATGTAGAACATTAAATAGTGCATGGACAACTATGTACTATGAAAAGTTGAAGGTAAAATACAAATTTGTTTTCATAGGACGAAAAGTTGTGATATGCTCTCATTTAATTTCACCCAATTAGAATTGCTCTTGGAACTCTTTTTGTAGTTATGCCTGTTAATGTGAAAAGTATAGAAGCTAGGTTAAAAGTATATACTGCAAATTTATAATGAAAAGTTGACAACCTGTTTGGGAGTTATTGCCCCTGAAATGTTAATTTTTGTATTTTTGGCTGTTATCTAAAAAAAATTTATAGAAACCAGCCGAAGGTTAATCATGTAAATTCCAAAAATTATCGGTCAGAATGGGGACGTTAAATTCGATGCCTCGTGTAGAGAGAGTGCCACGCTCTTTGCACGTTCAGAACCCTTGCAACAACTCTTCGAGGGGTCCGTAGGTGGCCTGTTACAAGGCTAAATTTCTGTCCCTATCCAATATACCCTCATTTTCTCATGGCAGTCCAAATTTCCCCGACCTGCATCCCGAACGTCCTCTTTTGTAAGACCTACCCATTGTATTTAATGTTAACTTGTTTTCGTCCTGAACATGCATGAAATATTTGCCACTGGACATTAGGCAACCAAAAATCAATCGTACTTTGAAAAAAACACCAAACAAACTGTGTTATCCTCAATCCATGAAAATTGGTAGTAACCAAAAATAAAAGAATCCACATGAGTCGACGGGACAAGAGAAACGGACATTAATTTCTAGTCTGCAAAGGTGAAGGGACAAACCTAGGCATGCCATTTATTTATGTTTGATAATCGTCCAGTGACAAATATGTCCTGCATATTCGTGGATATAGGACAACTACACGTGTAGATTGATAGATTGATTGTTGGTTGCTTAACGTCCAGTGGCAAATATTTCATGCATATTCAGGACGAGAACAAATTAACAATAAAAACAATAGGTAGGTTCTGTAATAGAGGCGTCCGGGGTTGAGGTCGGAGAAATTTAGACTACCACGGGAAATGAGGGTTTATTGGATAGGGACAGAAATTAAGCCTTGCAACAGGTCATCTACGGACCCCTCAAAGAGTTGTTGCAAGGGTTCTTAACGTGCAAAGAGCGTGGCACTCTCTTTACACGAGGCATCGGATTTAACGTCCCCATTCTGACCGGACGTGGCTGCAAATTTGTACATCCCGCACAGCCAAACGGACGCCCCACTTTGTCGAGGGTTTTACTGCCGGTCGGAGGAAGACCAATGGTGACCATACTTCTATTCCCCAGTCACCCTTGGGGATCTACACGTGTAGAACATTCACATATATTTGAACCCGAATGAAAACAGAAACAACCAAAATACACAAAATACATGTCCAAAAATGTGAAACAGGTGGGTATTTTTGGAATGTTTAGTTGTATATGTATAATACAGGTTTATATTTTTTTCTTTCCACTTTTATGGATTTATAGTGAATGTTGACTTGGCTTGTATTAAGTTTAATCAATCATTTGTGAACTTTTAATCTAACGCCACCAAAATATATATGTGATTGTAACCTGTCCCTGTCTCAGTCATTCTCACCCTACTTTTTCTTCGAGCATTTGCGAAAACTTGTGGTAAAGTTGTCTGAATCGGTCAGTAAAAAAGAATAGGCATATCTCGAACATCTGATTTAACTCTGACTTGTTTATTTTCAAGTTCTTTTTGTTCGACTACCAGAATAAAGTTCATTTTTGTTTTCATTCTGTTTATATAACAGTCTATATAAAATATGTTCTTAAAAGGTAAAATACATATTATAATTAGTCAACCTAAATAGACATGTCAAGGTGTCTTAGCAATATTGAAACACATTTGGAGATGTGGGATAAATGTCAACCACTGAATTAGACAATTACCAAATAAAAATGATTTACCTAGCTTCCTTCTCTCCTAAAATGTTCAGTAATATAAACACAAGAAAATGTGGTATGATTGCCGATGAGACAACTCTCCACCAGAGACCAAATGAAGTAGAAGTTAAGAGCTATAGGTCACTGTATGGGGCAATGCTCATTTGGTATTGTTTTGAATATCCCTTATTCCTTAATTTACAGGTGTATCAGTTCAAAAAATTAAAAATAGGAAATAAAATAAATTCCTTTCCTACCTACCCTATTTGTTTCAACTTGGAGGCAGGAAACAAGCATTTTTTGGCCTTAAGAAAAGTAAACTAACACAGAAAAAAAAATAGCAAAACTTGTTATATTTATGGTCAGGGACTGATTAAAAAAATTTAAGCCATGCTGTGGTTAGTGTTAGTTTTTAACACATGATTTGTTCACAGCATAATTGCATATATATTTGGAATACAATATAAATCATGGTAAGGTATTAATGTCTGTTCAAGACAGGGTTCGTCTGACTTACATATTATATATACTAATTAGTGTTGAGTTTCCGTGGCCAGTTTTACAAATAGTCAATACTCATATACATTTGTGTCAACTTTGTTTGGTGTATGGTATATATAACAATGAGGTGTACATATCTGTCTGACAGGGTTCACCTGAACTTAATTTTTATGGTTCATTGGCCAACGATAAATTTTGTCGTTAGTTCATTTCTAAAAAAATGATACATACATTTGATGGATAAATATATGTATGTGAAAGTATTAGCTTTCTTTCATTACTGGAAAACAATTTGTTACTAATTAGTACCTGGTAAATTTTTCTCCTGCTGAACACTAGAAGAGGTTCTTGGATTTATTATTTTCAAACTTTATACCGTATTTTGGACTGATGAAATTAGGATTGATTGTTGCTTACCTAACATTATTTCATACATGTATAGTAACATGATTTAGATTATTTGATTGTTGATTGCTTAATGTCCAGTGGCAAATATTTCATGCATGTTCAGGACGAGAACAAATTAACAATAAACACAATAGGTAGGTCCTGAAATAGAGATCGGCAGGGATGAAGGTCGGGGAAATTTAGACTACCACTGAAAAATGAGGGTAAATTGGATAGGGACAGAAATTTTGCCTTACAACAGGTAACCTACGGACCCCTTAATATAGTTGTTACAAGGGTTCTTAACGTGCAGAGAGCGTGGCACTCTCTCCACACACGGCATCGGATTTAACGTCCCCATTCTGACCGGACGTGGCTGCGTACTTAATACATCCCGCACAGCCAAACGGACACCCAACTTTGGCAAGGGTTTTACTGCCGGTCGGAAGAAGACCTGTAGTGACCATATTTCTATTCCCCAGTCAACCTTGGGGGAGACGATTTAGATGATAATTAAGGATGAAATCTTTTTTAATTAATGCAATTCTCAGATGCAAATCCAGGATTTTGAAAGGGGGCAAACTAGACAACGTTACTATGTAGGAGTGAAACAAGTAAAAAGTTTATGCATATACTAAATATGTAGATCCATGGTGGCCCCTCTTAAACTTGCGAATTTTTCCACATAGACTAAACTTCTGTCAGTAGAACAAGATTTGGTTACTTCATCGTATTAGGCAAGATCAACATATATAAAATGTATTAGTTATAGTTATTTATGATATAGCAACAAAGCTTTTTCCTTTGACTTGAGCAGTTGATTTTCTATTTCGGTTAGTTTTATTGTCTCTGCTTTTGTTGATAATAATTGCTTCAAGTCTTTAATGTGGTCCTCTTTACTTTTAGCTACTATCTTTAATGCATCGAGCTCCTTTTCTGTTATAGAAGTTGCATATCATGTTACATTTTAAAGACATCAATTTGGACGAGGTAAAAATTACAAAATAGAATTTATAAATAAAAAGAAAATGTTGGATATAGAACAATGAGACAGCAATCCCTCGACCAAAATATGTTTTACTATCAAATGATACGGCTAT